AGCCCGTCAGCCTCACCATTCCCTCGAGTCTCAGAAAAGTGCTGTAAAACCCCTACAATGAACAACCAAGATCACTATGTTCAAATTGAGCGTTGANATAAGCATTCATTTTGCCACTGTGATTCTGAATGGAAGTCGAGTGCCGGGCAATCACATAGCAAGAAGGGCTTACAATCCTGTTACTTCACTGTAATGTAAGAGACCTCATTAGGGTTAATCAACTACTACAAAATGGCCATTATCATTGTGTAATCGCGGCATCAGCCTGCAATGCCGTTCTTCCTCTGTCACGACCTGGCACGGCTTTCTCGTCATATCCTACATCTCCCCTTGAAGGAGTTAAGGGATGCTTGCTAGATCAACAACAATTCGAGGGAAAGGTTTTCGTATTGGCTATAAGGGTAGGTTTAGCGGATGTGGTGTAATGGCTGGTGCACAATCACATGCATGGTCCCAAGATCGAATTCCGGATCGACACCCGCCCGTGCCAACCAAGCCTTCCATCCATCCGCGGTCGGTGAATTGGTACCAGGTTCATCTAGGAGGGTAAAAGCACTGAATTGTACATCGGCTGGCCATCGCAACTCATAGTATAGGCTACATAAGCGTTCAAATCACCTCTGCGATTCTGAATGGAAGTCGAATGCGATGGCGTAGCCCAAAAAAGGGTTGATCAACCCCTTATGACTTGGCCTTTCAAGAGATTGGGTTTAAAATATTTTCTGGATTTCTGGACGAAAAAGACCTAAAAGAACCATTTCCGATTTTTCCATGGAAGCATATGTTCGAATGAGAGTCGTTGGTGGTGTGGGTACGCCGTCGCTATGGCAACAGACGATGAAACAAGCCTTTATTGTGGTATCCACTTGGAACTCTGATTTTCTAATTCCTTTCTGGTCTTTGAAAGCAGTTATAAGGTTTAGTCAACATAAGGTTCGTATTTTGTTGAAGTGTTAGTGCCACGATGAACATTTCTACCAAAGAATCTTTTCTTTTGTTTTCCGGTGAGAAGAATATCCAGAGAATTCACTGCGGCAGCATAATCAGGAAAGATGGAGGAAAACGAGGAAAAAGAAGAGGAGCACGAACAAGATTTACAAGAAGGACCAGGGAAACTTTACGAACCATGTATCAAAAATGAGGATCTTGTCGATAAGCTAAAACTGCTGGATTATGAAGAGGGATTCCTGAAGATGAACGCTGCATTCAAGCCCATTCACAGGTAGCTGATAGCAGTATCAGTACTATTTTTTTGATTTTTTTTGAATTCAGATACTATTTTGTGCAATCTAAGAACGTTGGTGAGCAATTCTTCATGTTTACATCACTAGCTGCTTGGCTAATAAGGAAAAGTGGTAACGAATCCTATGAAATGCCACAGGAGGTGAGTTGCAAAATATTATCAAGCGGGAAAACTCGTCCACGTGGGCCTGGTTATATGTAGTTGATCGTGAGCTGTGTCTTCCAGTCTGGATATGCTTTTTCAAAATTTTCTGCAGCTTTTCTTTCCTTCCTCAGTAATTTTCTATCGTCTGTGGCTAGACTTTCACACTTGTTACAATGGTTACGAGGTTTTCCAATGATCGTTTAGTTTGACGATCCAAATGCCACAATCGCTGGAATCATGGGATATCTTCGATCGAAAGTGAGTGGTATTTTCTCATTAAAATATTTAAACTTCAACTTTTTGTAAATGAATTAGAATGACCGTGCGGTTCCAGTTGTTCCTCTAGCAGAAGTTGAAGCTTTTTCTTTTTTTTTTATTCTCTTCATATCGGATAGTTATAGCGCTTCCAATTTTAATAGGATCAGGTGGGAGTGGACTTGAGAGTTTCAAAGGTTTATTCATTAAACAAAAAAATGCTATAACAAAAAAATTTGTTTTCGATTATGTACAATACCTGTCGAAGGTAAATCACAACTTACACATCACAGACGGAATGACTAGTTGTTTCATCGAAAATGTTTGAAACTATTGTAAATAGGAGTAAAGGCAAGGAAAGAGAGTGAGGTAGGAACAGAGATATAGGGAAAGGGGAAAGAGAGGGAGAGAAATGATTAGAATTTATCCGATCCGATTACGCGATGTCAGTGGATTACTTACTCAAAAGAATGGCTCCAGATATTCCAGTTAACGATTTCCTATATACCACCGAAACCTTCCATTGGGAGCACCTCGAAGAGGGAAGGTAGGGGGTGTCATACAGTAGCTACTGAATCCGGAAGTAGGGTAGAGATCTATGGACACGTCGGCCCTTGAACGAGGACAGAGGTCCAACAGCCCGTCAGCCTCACCATTCCCTCGAGTCTCAGAAAATGCTGTAAAATCCCTATAGTGAACAACCAAGATCACTATGTTCAAATTGAGCGTTGACTAGTCGATGAAGGAAAATCCGATCATAACCTTCAAAAGTCTCAAACTCGCTCTTCACGTTTACACAGCGAACTCCTGGGAATCGTGGCAAATCGCATAACTCTGGTCCTTTACATTTACTATGCTGTTCGCCATTGTAGAATATCCTATTGTAGCATTGTTCTATTAATGGATAATAGATAGAAACCTCTGGGAGTCGTTCATAAATGTCCATTACATTCTGCATATGACTTAAAAAATTCTCCTGGATATTGGCTAGGTCTGAATTATTGAACAGAGGCGGTCCGGTGAAATTGGACAGCAAGGGATTGTATTCAGGGGATAGATCGTCAGATGGCTGCGATTGATTGACAAAGTTCCAGAAACGTAGGTGAAGAGCAGAGTTCATTTCAATTGGCAGAGTGACCTGAAACCACCGCATTTAAAGTTGGGAAGTCTGGATGAGCTAGTGCTGGGGACTTAATTTCATTGATGACTGAGTCATCAATGAAATTTTAACGGAGATAGGAAATGAGAAAAAGGTTCTCTCATTTTCATCTTTAGCTTCAACTGATTCCTAAATTTCACAAATTCAATGTTTACCTGTTCATATCCGTCCCGTATTCCATAACTGCGATGAATCCAAGCACTATCGGTACGTTCTGGGCGTACGACGATCTTCCCCCAACGTGTCTCACCTCAAAGTGAACAGCATGTTTTACGATAGAAACGTTCATGAATTTTCCCAGGTTCCCCGAGAGGAGCTGCATGGTAGGAGCGCTATTTAGCAGAGCATTTTTTGATGGTCTTTTAGGATTGTGTTGGTCACGAAAAGGAAAAGAGCTTTTAGGTCGAAGACCTAGCTGTCACTTTCGGTCAAAAACGCTTTGGAGCTGATCCGGCATTTCGAACAATTATCAAAAAGCCCCGAAACTCTTGTTCTGTACTCGCTATTGGTACTCTACATGAGACGTTATAACCCATTTTAAAGATGCATTCGTTAGGTCAGTATATTGATGAGTACTGTGGTTACCTTTGAATTGAATGGATTTCAAGACGTCAACAGGCGAGTAGGATAAAGGTGCTGTAGCTGAAATGATCAGTTTACAATGTTACAAACGTGATCGAATCAGATCTATGTGACAAAGTGATTTTATAGTACATCGGACAGCTCTTTTCATGGTGAGGATACATAATAAATATATCAGAAGTGATCGAAGGGTAGAGGTAGTAAGTGGCCACTAGCACGTCCTCACGGTATGGGGATCGAATTTAATTGACGTCTGTTTGGGCCACACAAATGGGACCGATTGACATTTGACTCCATCTATTCTCGTCTCACAAAGTTCGTTTCCTGTTGTACCATACTGATTTGTTCTAGAGACAGTTGGAAGAGGTAGGAGAATATCAGCCTACGACCCTGTTCTAGCTACCTCTTTCACCTATTCCACTGAAAATAATCCTGTACTCCCTTCACGAAGTACGGATCGGTCCCAGTTCCATTGAAGATTTCTGGTACCGATCTATTTATCTCTCAAATCAGTTATATAGATTAGGGTGCCCTGCTTTTCGTGCTGTACAATCTCGATCAAAATAAATAAAAAAAANAAAAAAAACCAGTGAAAAGAATTTCCTAACTCACTCGAAACTATGCCTGATTGCGTCATGTTGTATGCAATAGCAGCTGCGTCGGGATACATAAGGAAGATCTAAACGACGTTCTTTGCTGTTGGCCTAGAGAGGTTTTCCGAAAAAGGTTGGCCCATATAAGCATCAAATCATTAGAAGCAACTCAGAGTTCTTCTAGCTAAATTACTTGGCCTAGAGGGTCGAAAAGAGACTTTCTTTGAAGGAACCCCTACTAGACGTGCGAAAAGGTCGAGAGGGGCCTACTCTGTGCCTTTAATCAGTTTTCAGTAGAGAATGTTCCACTAATTCTGATTCGGATCATTTTTATTTGTTAACTCCAATTTTATTTTCCTCGCGTTGAAGCTAATCACTCAGATTCCACTCTGAGAACTATTATAGCCTACTATCTGACGGTTGACAATACGGTAGAGTTCTTTCTATTGAATTAGTTGCAGTGAACGAGCGAAAAATACTGAGGCGGAGGTGCCCTGAAGTCGCTCTTTTTGACCGATCCAACTGACCATCTCCCAATTGAGCACTATCTATCACCGTACCTACCTGAATGTGTACCCACATGACTGCTAATTACGTCAGGTGCGACCAGTTAACCTTCATTTCACGAAATCTCGGAAGATGGTATTTTGGGACGACATGACGTGATCACATACCCGATTGAATTCTTCGAGGTATGTCCGTCCAAGGCGGGGAATGATGACGTCATCAGTGTCAGGGAAGATGATGAACTTGGCCGATTCCTTAATAAAAATTACCACTGAATTGTCAAAGGCAGGGCTCAATTTTAGATCAATCATGAGTTCAAAATCACAATTCAACAATACAAAAAATGGCAAAAAAAACATCCGACATTCATCCCGTTTGTATGGGCCTATGGGCCTTGTACTTGACCTTTATGGAGAGGAGTGCAGCACTTGAATTATAGGTGCGTTGCCTAACTAGGGACGGCTGCTGTGCTAGGAAACTTCAAAGGGACTAACCTTGTATAGGAGAAGACAATCCGTCATTGCTGCTGCTTGATTTCTAAACTCTAGTTCGATGTTAGGATCAAATTCCACCGAGTTTGCTCTCTTCGAACCGAGCCGAACAGCTGGCCATGGTTGGACTCTCGCATTCCGGTATTGAGTTAAAATCAAGAACAGATCTGTGATCATGGAACGGACATAGAAGTGCATGGCAGCTCCATAATAGCTGTAAACCTAGAATCAGGACCTGGGTTACGTGCAATGCATGCATATTGATCGGACCTACCTCCGCTGTCAGAAGAAGCAACTGCCATCGCTCGTTCAAAAATAGGGGAGAGAAGCAAGCTACGACGTCATGGTTTTCAGAGTATGGACGCCGAATCGGTACCTAAGGTGAGGTATTTACAGAGGATGAAAAATCGGTCCCAGGACCTTATTCATTCGTTTGACTAGAAATCTCGTCACTGGCAGTTACAGTGTGTTCAGTACGATCGAGGAGTAACTGACTGCCATTCCCTTCTCTCCAGTCGACAACGTCAGAGATGTCATTCCTTCGCTGACCTGACCGACAGCTATGAACGGCACCCATTTACAGTAGAATGGAATCTGCTGCACCACTGGATAGATTCTGCAACCAATTTTTAAAGGTTCTTAGAAAAAACCATTAATTATAGCTCGGCTAAGTGTTGATGGTGGATATAAGCGCTATGCAGCGGTAAACGGTCGATACGCCGTCGAGATTAGCCGAAAACGATGGCGAGACTGGTCTGTAGCCATTGTTGCGATGGCGCTGACGTAACGGAAGCTGAGACCTACCTGAAGGATGTTTTCATCGAGCCAGAGGCGTTTGTTGATA